TGAAGAAAGTGTTCGGTTCTCTTTGTACGCTGTTCTAATGTTCTGTTTTCTCAGGGGATTACCTAAATTTTGCACAAGCTGACAGGGAGATAAAACCAAGAACCGAATAAAATGGTATTTCTCTCTAGCCCGGTATACGTAATAATCTAACTCCATCCAGTTACTGAGTATTGAAATGCAATTAACTATTAATCTTAATAACTAAGTGTCCTCAAATAATATATGCCTCAATCTACCGATTTCATGATCCATGTGGTTTGCTTTAATTGTGAACTCTCGGTGGTGTGGACATAGTTCAAGAATATACAAATTTAAATAAAATTCTATATCTTAACTGGTGATAAGCCAATGTAGCCTTAAAGAATACTTAAGACAAGTATTTCCCACGCGAATTCCACCAGATGGACTATATCACACAATTCACCAGCGACGCACGCTACGTTAAGGTAGCAGATAACATTGTCGCAGACATCCTCTCCCGCATGGATATGGTTTCTGTTGTACCTGACACCAGAATTGATTGGCAAGCTATGGCTAAGGCACAGGAACTTGAACGCAATCAAGTAAGCGCTCACTAATGGCCCAAATTGATCATGACACGAATAGAGATGCCGCAAGGCACCAAGAGTTGGCGTGATGTGTCTACAGGTAAACATCGTCCTTTCGTCCTTTCCATCATGAGGAAATTTGTTTTCCAAGCCGTTCATGATTTGGCACATCCAGGTATATGAGCGTCCAGGAAACTAATTATAAACTGTTTCGTCTGGTCAGGGATGCAAACAGGCATCAGTCAATGGATCACAGGCTGCAGTGTATGTAAAAAAAACAAAGTACACCGACATATCAGAACCCCAATCGACCCTTTCAAACCGTTCAGAGGTTCAGTCATTTGCACATAGACATTGTCGGACCTCTGCCACCCTCCAAAGAAAATCGATATCTATACATGGTCATATATTGTTTCACGCAGTTGCCAGAAGCTATACCCATTCGAGACATACAGGCAGAGACCGTCACCAAAGCCTTCGTTTTACACTAGTTTTCCAGGTTTGGTACCCCAACAACCATTACTACCGACAGAGGTAGACAATTCGAATCAGAATTATTCACCTAACTATCTAAACCATTTGGTACAAAAAGGAACTACATTTGTTCATATCCTCCACAAGCAAGCAGTTTTATCAACGCTTTCATCCTCAACTAAAGGCTAGTTTAAGAGTGTCAGAAAAATTTGGACGTCTGAATGGGCAATCTCCCCTTAGTGCTACTCATTTAGTGAACTATGATTAAGACAGATAGCGAATGCAGCCCAGCAGAAATGGTTTGCGGATGTCAATTACGCCTACCCAACAAATTCGTCGCCTTTAAACATATTAAGCCTCCCACAGTGTAAGGAATCTAGCCGATACGATCGAAAATCTACACAATATCCCGTTCAAAAGCAGTTTAATTAAGACTGCAGTGCTAAAAGGCCTTTCAACGTGAAAATTCGTCTACGTCCGTGACGACCGAGTATTAGCA